TAATAATAGTAATTAATAATAATAGTAAGTAATAATAGTAATTAATAATAATAGTAATAACAATAATAGTAAAATGTAATAATAATAATAACAAAAATATTAATAATGATAATATTAATTGATATTTTGGTGAAAGTTTTAAATGTAAATTAAAAGAAAAACTAAACCTTAAAACCAAAAATCTTCAGGGCTGCAAACGTACGGTTACATCGTTGCTGAATTATTAAACTGCAAAAACGAGCATAGAAAAATACTAAATGTATTGGTAACATTCTTAATTAATAAACCCGGTATGCATACCTTATAATGAAGATATATGTATATCTTTCTCTAATTCTCGCACCCTCTCTCAAATTAGCATTTTCTGCAACTTCGTTAGTGGCAACATCCTCCTCAAATTCGTCCAGAGCTTCGAAACCCAAGTCTGCAGCAGAGCCGTGTTTCAAAAGAATGTTGTGTATATAATATTCCCGGCTCTCTCATGGGAATAATGCAAAATACGGTGCTTTGTTAAGCACCGAAATCTTGATTTCAGAACACCGAAAGCTCTTTCTACGCAATTTCGTGTAGGGTGTTGAATGTCACTTCTTTTGCATTCGATGGCTCTGCCACTGGAGTTAGAAGCCATGGTTCCAGTGGGTAACCCTGGTCCCCTAACAACCAATTATCGCACTGGCTTCTATGTGTTCTTAGATGAACGAGTGTTGGGGATGTAGTCCAAATACCGGAGTCGTGGTAGGATCCTGGAAATCTTGCATTTATAGCCGTGAACACCAAACGATGATCACATACCTATCGAGAAAGAAACTTGTATAACAATATATTAGATTTCTTACAGAATTGTCATTGCTTTGATTTTTAATTTTATCTATCATTTACCGTATGTAAAAAAAAATATGTAGTAACACTTACAGCCTCTACGTTAATGCTGTAGAAACCTTTCCGGTTCATATACATGCATAGAGGGTTACTTGGGTCTGTTGATGATGGAGCGACTATGCCTATGTGCGTGCAGTCAACAGCACCTATCGTTCCCTTAATCTTAAATGCCGTATAAAAGCTGAAAGTAATGATATAACATAAATTGAATTCACCTTTTTTAAAAAATTCTATTTATTACCGCTTTTTAACTTCCAAAACCTCATTTGAAGGTTTGGGGACCCTTATTTCGCCGCCCTTAACTTCCATTATTAGCGTTGAGATGTGATGAATGGCGCGCGACACGGACGGCTGGCTCATCGCAATTTGGAAGTTGTTTCCTGCACACTTCTGGTATGAACCATGCGCGTAGAAATACAGGCTCCCCAAAAATCTTATTAGAAAAGGGATGGCGGACTTCTGAGGGTCGCGTGGCTCCAATTAATGCATTAGTTCACGACAAAGGGATTTAGGAAGCGAAAATTTTGGATAAAAAACTATCTCCTGCATCGAAAACGGGTCGCTGTCGTCCCTGAGCTCCCTCAAAGCTCGCTTCCTTTCAAGCTTTTGCTCGTCTTCCACAAGCACGGCTGCG